AGCTCACTGGATGTACTCAGGAGCTCAGACCAGTGCATCGAGACAGCGCGGAGGCGTAGAAGGTCATGGAGCGCCATATGCCGAAAGACTTTCGTGAGGACATTATCCGGAAGCACACCGTGGTTATCCTGGCGGGGTGCACGGGTGCTTTCCTGGGACGTGGAAAGTCTATGGGCTCCAGGTAACGTGAGAAAGGAGGAACTCGTGGACCGTGGCTCAGAGGATGGAGTTGATGGTCGCTGTTGCTCTCCGGAGGCTTCCTCCGGGGTCATCGGGGCAACAGACCCGCGTCGACTTCGAAGGCGAACTTTGTCCAAGCCAATGTTAAGAAATGGATCTGGATCTGATGGGCGTAAGAGAGCCTGCTCATCTACACCATTGGGTCTTGGCGTGCTATCCAGTTCTGTCTCTGTCAGTGTTAAAAGCGGCATAGACTGCCTCCGAGAAGCCCTTAATTTGAAGTTATCGTCGACCTCCATATGGTTACCGTAAGGCTCAGCGCCCGCATCATCTGACATCACAACATCGCCATCAGAGGCTGACTGGAGCCGCTCTTTAGCGGTTTGCTCGACTTGCTGACGGACCTTCTGGGGGCATCTCTCCCAGAACTCAGCCAACACCTCACCGCTGATCATCAAACATTCTACCGCATTAATAGACCGCACAGTAGCGGTTCTTCGAGGCGCTAACGACAGGCTTACTACCTCTCCAAAATACTGGCCTTGTTTCAGCCGTGCTTTTACTTCGAAGCCCGGGTGTTCGATGGTCTTTGGTAGGGACTGTGTTTGCTGTGCTTCTGCCCTCTCCGACAGAACCTCCACTTCGCCGCGAACAATGAAGTATATCTCACGTCCTTGAGAATCCTGTTTGATGATGTCGGTGAAAGGAGGGTAGGATCGGGGTTGCGCATTGAGTCCCAAGAAGTGAAGGATATCCGACGGCAGGCCGGCAAACAACGGTAGTTCCTTGAGAAGAAGACGGACATTGACCAGTCCATTCGCCAGCGCACTGGATGATCCGTCAGCCAATCCAGGGCTGGGGGATTTCCGCTTCTTGTTGACGGACGCCAATGACCTGCCATCCTGCTCGCTGAGACTGAGGTCTCCAGAAAACGTGTCTCTCACTCTTTTCGAGCCTCTTCTGGCCGGACTTCCGGGCTCGACCACTGGCGCGGATGTTTCCTTCTTCTTCTTCTCCAAAATCATCAATCTCTCCTGTGCTTCATCCCTAATGGCCCGCTCGACATCCGGAAAGCGGGGGAGGATTTGCCGGAAATCCTCCTTGGTCAGTACGACCAGCAAGCATCTGGTGCGGGCGACAATGGTCGCCGTCCGTGGGCGATCCATCAACACGCCAATCTCACCAAAGAATGCACCTGCTTCGAGCTCGGCATACACACTCTCGCCATCGCGAGAAGTCACCGAGACCGCACCGCGGACCAACCAGTAGATAGCCTTGGCTTCGTCGCCTTCCGTCAGGATGTAATCATTGGCTTGCTGGAGCTGGGGGCGGAGATGCTGGCCGACATCGATCAGGAACGATTCTGGGGTGGATTGAAAGAGAGGAAAGGAGCGCAATCGGTCGATGAGGTCTAGCGGCAAAGCTCGGATGTTGGACGAGGTCAATGGCGACGGACGTACAGGACGATTGGGGTTTATCACCGAGTCGAACGAATGTAGCAGGGATGCGGTTTCGGAGATAGGAGTGACGGCTTTAGTCGAACCTCCGCTGGCCCTTCCATGGCGGCGCATTGTGAAATGGTTGAGGGAGGTTCCAGGGAGCTTGGGAAAGATACAAAGGGGTTTAGAAAGAAGATTCGATGGGGGAGCATATAGTTTAATTCGGCCCCAAAGCGATCAATGAACCGATGACGTCGACGAAAAAGGGAATCACGGGGGGAGCTTTTTTTTTTTCAGAGAGACATCGTTCGGGAACCACGGTGCGGGGGAGGAAGACAAAAGATTTGGGTCAGAACGATCAGCTTTGAGCCGTCAAGAGCTCACAGTGGGAAGGGGAGCGACAACTGATTTGGGTTGTAAGGAGAGCAGGTCTGGAGCAGTGAAGCAAAAATGGAGTGATGAGCTAGAGTGGTAGAAAATAGTCCTGAAGAAGGACTACAGAGCATAATGGATGGAGGGGAGTGGAGGGGACGGAAGAGGGGAGAGAGATAGAGAGGGGAGTTGAAAGAGTGGTTGAAGAAGCAAGTCGGGTTAGTTTAATTTTAATAATAATAATAATAATAATTAGTAGGTAGTTTAGTAGTTTAGTCTACTTCAGTTGTGAGTCGGCGGAGCAGAAGGAGCAGAAGGAGCAGCAAGAGTAGCAACAGCTTCCCACCGTAGGTACTAAGCCTAGGAGTCTAGGACTATTGAGACTCTAGGACTGACTTCTAGGGAAGACTAGACACCACTGCAGTAGGTCTAGCAAGCAGTAGCAGCAGCAGCAGGTAGCTTAGAGAGGCTAGTCCAACAAGGTCAAGCAGCAACATGAAAGCGGGGATCACCAACGTCAAATTCTTTGGTTGAGGCTCCACCACCGCCGCAAATGGTCAGTGAGTCTGGGACCCGACGGAGACTGCTGGACACAGTCTGGGAGTCGGAGTCTGGGACTCTTTTCGTTCTGTTCTGTTCTTTCTTTCAGGTTTCTCTCCGCCACTTACGGTTCCACACTGTCGGTACAATCCCCTATCCAACCAATAACCCTTCCCCCCTCCACCCCCCCCGATTCTACTGTACAGTAGAGTATGATCAAGCAAGCCATCCACCATCTTGTCGACTCTTAAGCAATTTTGCCTAGAGTAAGCAGGTGCGGAGTTGTGTTCATGTGGTGAAACATGTGGCCTATCTTTCTGGAACAATCGGGACTTCTTCTTATCCACTGCCGCTGCAGCTCATCCTGATGCCATTCATTGCATGAGTATGAACAGTGAGCATCAGAGCGCGATCTACAAAAAAGTTCCCAGAGGCTGCATGAAGCATAGTTAGGTTTGTTTGTTGCTGTGTCGCTGGATCATTGGATTGTTACAATTCACCAATGTCCATTTCCACTGTACCCCTCATAGCCAAGTCACCTGCATTGCTGAACTACAATGCCACCTGACAACCCTATCCCCTGCAGCGGGAATTATGCACCACCCTAGGCTGATCAATTTCTGGTACTCAAGCTCTGATTCCAACTCAGCGTTGATACAGTCCACATAAAACTTGTGCATGCGCATGTGTATGTGTCAGCAACAGAGCATAAGTTAACTACTATAGGACTTAACTAAGATCTCCCTTGCTGACGTGTCAGATGATGCCGCATGCACAGTGGTTCAGACAACAGTCCTAAATGATGATACGCAGAGGACTGACCCTTCTGCTTGCTGCAATGGGAACCAACGCCAATTCAAAAGGCTCAAGTATGCTTTAACTTCGAGCTGCCTGTTCAGGTTTCTAATACAAAGCCGGAGGGGGTGGAATTCACAGAACGAACTAGCACTTCCACCTGTAGATAGAGCCAACACGGTCATGATAATACATACAAACTATGTGACAAGTGAAGCCGAGTATTTAGCACTCAGTTTCAGCTATTACCTGAATCAATGCATATAGGGCTTGTCGCCCGCTCTCTCGAGGCATGAGATTGCTTCGCCCTCGTCAATGTATAACAATGATTCTGATAGCATCTGTGTCATCAATGGCAGCTCCATCAAGGAACATCATTAACGTAACGTTTCCCCCGAGAATAGACCCAAAAGAGATTCACTGGTGCTTGTTTCCAGACAAATCCTCAATTTCACCATGCATAGTAAGGAGTGGTCGACAAAAGCTATCTGGAGGCTCCGTCTCCGGGCCGTAGCTGAAGTCTGACATGATGCGGCAAATCATGGAACTGTCCTCCTAGTTTTGACAATCCACCGCCTCTTCATTATTTGCATTCGTAGGGTCACGCCATGGCACCTACCGGAGCGGGAAGTGTCCTTGCTGTGCTAGGCAAGGCAGTAGGTTTGAATATGTGTCCAAAGAGTCTGGGCCTGTGGCTCTGATGCCGAGCTTTCGTATCGGAAAGAAGGATTGCGTGATCTTCAATGATATCACTCGGCCTTCGATTGAGGTTTGCCCATAATGAACTTGACATACGCGGGCGGGTTGCCCTTCAAGTATGCAAGGCTGTCTTGAAGCAGTCCGTATGTCAGGCCTAATTTCAGACCAAGTTTGGCGGTGCGGGCTGCAGTGTAGACATCATGTCGGGCTAGATAGGAATGGATTAGCCGGTAATCTCAAGAACGCCGGGGAGCTTCAGTAACAGACCTAAGAGGCTGTAGATGCCCGAGAATGACAGGCCTGCTACAACCGTCGACAGAAAATCCCGTTGGCCGTGTCGGGCATTGTCCACGATATCCTCAAAGACGGTGAAGACCATAGCACTGCCGCCTAGCCTGGCTCCCATCCTAAATCCCTCTCGCATGCCTGCGACGGTAGCAACATATCTCCGAGTCTTGTGGTACTGCCACCACGCCATTGAAGTCAAAGGCTGTCGATGAGCGTTCTCCGCGCGGAAACGATAGGCCGACGTGGTGTTGCCTTTGGAAAATCCGAGACACAAGCCTACGCCAAAGGCAGTAGCACCTGTGGCCATCATGCGCCTTCCAATACTGACTCCTAGTCTTTGATACGGATCAACACTAAGGAGCTCCTCCTTCATGGTAGCGTAGGACAAGGACTCGGGCGCGTCTGATGGTTGCTGGACATCCATGCTGAATAAAAGATAAAGTGACCCGTTGAATTCAAACTGATTGCGATTTAGGTCAGCGATAGACAAGGCCTGGTATGATTCTGTCAATTTGGTGTGCAATGGGCTGGGAGAAAGTGTCGCTGTCTCTGAACGTGGGTTTTGACGTGAGGTGAAATCGAAGTGCCGGACTCAACTTTGGGCGGCTCGCCGAGCTCCGAACTCCAAAGGCTCCGCAGTCCCGCCAAAGCTCAGCCATCAACTTCAAAAGCACCAGATCAAACACCATGGTAGGTACTGCCTCGCGCTGATCTCTGAACATATCGAACCAATCTGATCCATCTATCTACAGCCTCAGCCCGATCCTCTCAGCTGGACTTTGTTGTTCAAAAAGCACAGAACGACCGTGCTTCTGATGCTTCCTGCATCCGAAACGGTCGCCGCAACCAAAAACGCATTGCTTCGGGCCCTTCAAGCGCGGGGCCTGAGAGATATAAATGGAGATGTCGTTCCGGGGGACGCTTCTGAGATTGAGCTTGGAGTTCCGGTAGACAAGAATGACCTGGAAAAGGGCTGGACGAAGCTTGAGGTTGACCCCGCCGACTTCGATGCTGCTGATGCGCCCAAACGAGGAGCCCTGAAGAAGGCAGCCGGCTCGCTCACCTTACTAGCTGCTGATATCAAGAATGGACAAGCAATCGCATTCAGGTTCCGGAAGACTACGCCCGACGATTCTGAGAAGAACGACGAGTTGGCCGAGCTAGACCTAGAAGATCCAGGATGGGATGTTGTCCTCCCTAGCTTCGAAGACGAAGACGATGACATTCAGAACTGAGTGCTACCGTCGACCGGAAATAATGAAATGAATGACATCAGGCCCTTCTCTTAGCCGCAATTGAGATCCAGCATATCACATAGGTTGCTACAAGGACAAACGAGCCATGACCCGAGCCATGTTGACGGTCTTGTGACCTTAGCTTTTATGCAATCTCTGGCCAACAAAAAGTGCCCTCTGGCTTGCATCTACGTTCTGTGGGAGCGCGATACGATGAGCTATTTATGCTCTTGAGTTACCCTGGCGCTTGGCTCATATCGTTTTGTAGCAGACGGCTTTAATAAACTTCCGTGAATATCACTTTAGTAAGATTCTTAGTGTACAACCATATGCTTGTTTGTTACCTCATTCCCTGGTTGTAGTGAGATTCACTTCATCCCATGTTGATAATGGCCCCATTCAAGACCTGGCTCTGGTATGCAACTGCTATCAGATCGTAGCTCAGATCCCTAGTAAACTGTAGACGAGGATTCCGACATAATAATCTCAGCTGATCATGTAGATACCCGTCTCTAGCCGTTGCATCAAAGGTGGAGAAGATGGATCAAAAGTGCGTGGTAATAGTCACCACCTGGACGTGCTCTTTCAATGGCTGTCGGCTAGGATATGTGAGGCGGTGTGAGATCCCCGCAGGGACACGGCAAGCCTACTTTATCCACACGTCCCCCGGTTGCTAGGAGCAACAAGGCGGTGGAAAACACGTCAATGTCAACAGATTGGCTGAAGGTCGAACTAGTGCCAATGTCACTCAACAGGGGAGACTTTCTGGGGCAGTCTTGATTAATAGGTCCACAATCAACATTCCTCACTTCCACGTTCTGTGCACCTAATTTTTCATCTCCTCGTTGTTCTTCCTTCTTCGTTTGCCTTGTTGACGGTACAGGGCGTCGCTCCCCTGGAAAGCCGACCTCCGCGTTGAATTACCTAGAGGGACGTGACGCCTCTGCGGTGATAGTTGATTGCATTATTTCAATATGGCCGACGCTTCTTCCATCACTGTCGCGGTCCGGGTAAGGCCGTTCACAATCAGAGAAGCAGCGCAGCTCTCAAAATGTGAAGACGGCCCATTGTTCCTTGGTGACGGGTCACTGGCGGCAGCGCCGACACCCAAGCTCAACCAGAAGGGTCTTCGATCTATCATCAAGGTCATCGATGATCGATGCCTGTAAGTAGCACAACATACTATGCGTGGCCAGTGTGCATGGATTGACTGATCTCTGTTTCGATCAGTGTTTTCGATCCCCCGGAAGACAATCCTGTCCAAAAGTTTTCGAAAAGCGTCGTACCAAACGGAAAACGCGTCAAGGACCAGACCTTCGCTTTCGATCGAATCTTTGACCAAAATGCCTCTCAAGGTGAGGTCTATGAGTCAACAACGCGGGGCCTCCTCGACAGCGTACTAGATGGGTACAATGCTACTGTGTTCGCTTATGGTGCTACGGGCTGTGGAAAGACCCATACAATTACTGGAACCGCCCAGCAACCGGGCATCATCTTCATGACGATGCAGGAGCTCTTTGAGCGTATCGATGAACGATCAGACGAAAAAGCGACCGAAATCTCGCTCTCCTATCTCGAAATCTACAACGAGACAATCCGTGATTTGCTGGTGCCTGGAGGTAGTAAAGGAGGTCTGATGCTTCGGGAGGATTCCAACCATTCCGTTTCGGTGGCTGGCTTGTCGAGCCATCATCCGCAAAATGTCCAGCAAGTGATGGACATGATCATGAGGGGCAACGAATGCCGCACCATGTCGCCTACGGAGGCCAACGCTACGTCTTCGCGCTCGCATGCGGTTCTCCAGATCAATATTGCACAAAAGGATCGGAATGCAGATGTGAACGAGCCCCATACAATGGCCACATTGAGCATCATCGATCTTGCAGGCAGCGAGCGTGCCAGCGCTACAAAGAACAGAGGAGAACGACTTTTCGAAGGCGCAAATATCAACAAATCCCTTCTTGCCCTCGGAAGCTGCATCAACGCGCTGTGCGATCCCCGAAAGCGAAACCATATCCCTTACCGAAACTCGAAACTTACCCGGCTTCTGAAGTTCGCGCTAGGCGGTAATTGCAAGACGGTGATGATCGTCTGCGTTAGCCCATCAAGCCAGCATTTCGATGAGACCCAGAATACTTTACGCTATGCTAACCGAGCGAAGAACATACAAACGAAAGTTACGCGAAATGTCTTCAATGTTAACCGCCACGTCAAGGACTTCCTGGTGAAGATCGATGAACAGATGGCGTTGATTAATGAGTTGAAGGCTCAGCAAAAGAATTACGAGAAGGTTGCGTTTGCCAAGTTCAGGAAGCAAACCGAGAAGAAGGACGCTGTCATGCGAGAAGGGATCGCTCGTATCCGCAACGCTTACGAACACTCACTGCCAGAAAGGCAGGAAAAGACCAGCAACATGATCAAATTGAGACATATTAGCCGCCGGATCGGACTGCTCTCATCTTGGATCGCTGCATTCGATCATGTTTGTGCATCCTCCGAGTCTGAACAACCACTATCCAATCTCAAAGTCATTCGCAAGACAGCACAAGGAATCCTTCTCGAGTTGGAGAGTAGTAGGCAACACTACCATCAACGGTTAGCAAAGTCCACGTGGGACCGCAGCTTGGTTAGTGCTGTCGAGCATGCCGTTCGTCAGCTCCAAGAATTCAATTTCAATGACAACAGCGACATCGACAATATCCATCGCGAAGCAGAGTTATTGCGAGCTAATACGGAGCGCGAGGCTCTCTCCGCGGTTGCTGAACAAGAAAAAGCTGGGGACGCAGCGGCCGTGCAAATGCTGCTTCAGGCTCAATTCGAAACGATCTCTGAGATTGAAAATATCATGGAGATGAGCGAAGAAGAGGCTGTCGAGACAGGTAGAAAGATCCTTGCCAAAATGCTTGGTTCCTGCTCTACTTTGACATCTAGCCTGGTCAAGCCTGACGGTAGCGTCCCGTCTCTCTTACCAGCCAGTCCCATCAAGCCCATGAGCTCTCCCAAGCAGAAGAAGAGAGTTAGTCTTGCCGCCGCACCGCCCATCGGTCGACTCTCATATGCACCTGTGGTCTTGACCCCAGCAGCACCACCTTCCCCTACCAAAGGTTCTCCAAGACGCCGCAAGCTGAACGTGGGAAGGAAGAGCGTCAGCTTTTCGCCCAAGAAAGCCCAGCCGAAGCCGATCATCAAAAGAAGTGTGCGGTGGAGGGATGACGAGGAAGATGGTGCATTGACGGAAGTCCAGAAGACTCCTCAGAAGCCGGGATTGGCACCAGTACCCGAAGCCAGCCCTGGCGAGCCCCCAATGCCTCGAGCATCTCCTATTCCGCGGGGAATTCCAGTGCCCACCCGCAACTTCAGCCCGTCAAGCGCCTCGTCTCCGATCTCGGCTGTACCAGAACCCACGTTGAACATCCAGAAGAACAGCAACCGCTTCAAAACTGGGTTCCTGTCGAAAAAGCCTGGTAGTTCGCCAATGGGACCACCTCCCACGTCCACACTTCCCCTATCCGACAATGAAGCCTCCCCCCTTCGGGACATTGAGAACAGCAGCTTTTTGAACCGTTCATCAGTCGAGCGCCCCTCAAGAATTGCTGTTCGCACGCCGAGTGGAAGCTACTCCGGGAGCCCTGCATCAGACACTAAGAGTGCAACAAGCTGGAAGGCAAGCAAAGATGACGCTATCAAGATAACGTCTGCAATGCGGCGCATTTCTGGAGGCTCGTTCGGAATCGGACCCTCGGCTAACGCACTCCGCGTTCACCGTCGCCGAAGCCCAACAGCTGTAACATACGGCAGTTCTCCCACAGAGAATACCATGTTCACAGCTTCACAGGCAAGACGCATGGTTAAGAGCGAGAAAGAGGATACCAAGCCTCGTGTCTTGAGTCCTCGTGCTCTCCCAATCATGAAGAATACACAACGCCGGAGCACATTAGGTGGAGACATTCGCCCGCGGGATATCAGTCTTACCAGTCGTGATGCCATAAGGCTCAGCATGGTGGCAGCCCCTTCCCTGGAGAGGCCTCCAGAACATCTCTACCCCAGCAATGGATTTGGTATGAGATAGATGAATTGCATGTGAAATTGTTTGGTGTCATTGCATTGGTGATTTGGGTTGCTGGTACGGTGTTTGGGAATAGATACCATTTGCTTTCTTCCATCCTTGAAATTAAGACCGCACAATCCCCGACTCGGTACATACTTTATATTATACTTCTTTTCAGCTTGAAGGGGCCTGAGTTCCATCCAGGGCTTGGACAGACATCGTCGGCCATCTTCTCACTTCACTGTTGATGGTTACATGCTTTCGTTTTCTTTTCCCGTGAGTGGTATATTGCTCGGGATATGTACAATAACAGCTTGCTGCAAGTTTTTCGTGGCTAATGCGCTCCTACAAGAGGCCGTCAATCAAGCCCCCTACCAAGAAAGATGATAATAATAACTTTTTCAAGAGCACAGATCGTATTATAGACAAGTGATAGATGATTAAGTTGTACAGTACGCAGGTGGCCACCAATCTTATGTCATGCGCGGAATGACGCCACCAGAATTGGAGTATGACAAATTCACAATGGCGAGTTCCCGAGACCATAAGGTGGGAGAGAGAGAAGGCGCACTTTGCTTTGTACAATTAAAACACTTCAGACTCTTATTCCGCTGCAACTGTGTTCGAATTCTCTTCACTACTTGCTTGTCCTCGCTAATTGACAAGAAAACCAATCTCGGATCTGGAGAAGGGATTTGTCAGGCGCCCCTCTCCGGCGGAAACCAAAACCTCTCAGGTGGAGCAGGAAGCGCAATCGCATAAATAATTATTGATGGCGTTTGCGGCGCCCGCTTTTGGCTCGACTTTTTTCTCTCGAATTGCCCGTCAATTCTCGACCAGCTCACCTTTCCTGGCCTTAACCACCCCGTCCACCTCGCGCACCATGTCGACCAACACGCAGACCGCCACGGTAGCCGCCGGATGTTTCTGGGGTGTGGAGCACCTCTTCCGCAAACACTTCGGCAATGGAAAAGGTGTTTTGGACGCCAAGGTCGGCTACTCCGGCGGACACAGCGCGAACCCTTCTTATCGTGCTGTGTGCACGGGGGAGACTGGTCGTAAGTGAATTCTTCGAGCCGAAACGGGCGTTGTAGGCTTTCTTTGAGTCGCACGGAAATTGACTTTTGGTTTACTTTGCAGACGCCGAGGCATTGCAGATGACGTTCGATCCCTCGATTGTCAGCTACCGCGCCCTTCTAGAATTCTTCTACCGCATGCACGACCCCACCACTCTAAACCGTCAGGGCGGCGACATTGGCACGCAGTACCGCAGCGTGATCTTCACGCATGGCGAGGAACAGGATCAGATTGCCCGTGAGGTCACGGAGAAGGTCTCTCAGGAATGGTACAAGCAGCCGGTCTCGACCGCAATCGTGGGCGCGGGCCAGTGGTGGGATGCGGAGGACTACCACCAGCTGTACTTGACCAAGAACCCCGATGGTTATGAGTGCCCTGCTCAGTATGTGGAAACTCTTCCCCTTGCGCCACGAGAGTACTTTGCTAATCGATCTTCCTCCTTTGCTAGCTTCGTGAGGTCGTTCCCTCCGCTTTCTGCTTGACTCGCGTGTAAGATTTGAGATATGAGATATGTTGCCATGCCCAGCAGTATGAGATAAATACTGTCAGTTCAGCTGCGCTCAATTGAGAAGGAACCTGTGGTTCATTTGTCTTTCTTTGGGAAGGAGGGACCCGTGCCTAGCTGCTACCTGTAGGCTTTCGTTATGCTGCTAATGTCCCCGTCGAGACGGACTGCGTGATCAACTATTCAGCTTGCGATTAATAGTAGAGTACTGGAAGATGCTCGTGATGCACGGTGAACACTGTAGAGAGAAGCTTTGATCTGGGCTGTCTGTAGCACACTGATGACAATGCCGGTGAGTGCGATTTCAGCTTGTCTCCAGCTTCAAATAGGCATATCGTGTCCAGGCAAGGCAGACATACTGTAAAACAGGCTGGTTCTTATCTTTCTCCTCTGAAGGGCTTGCTTTGGCAATATACCCTTCAACCTGCACTTCTTCATTCGTGTTGTCTTCGTCTATCAGCTATATGGCTCAAAGCTGCTCTCACATTTCCTACGTTAACCTGAACGGCGCGTTGGAATAGAGCAATATAAGACTGTCCTGTACCACAGGTTCGATGTCCGAACAAGGCAAGTCTGATCAGAAGAGTCTCCGATGTACTCAAGAAGTCCAGCTGTAAACGGTCCGTGAGAGTCCGTAGAGCTCCGCTGTAGAGATCAGTGAAAAGTCCGGAATATTCCTCTGGTTGTGAAGTATTCACTGTGCGCGTACTCCCTCCATATCAAGAGCCAGCCTGTTTCCCTCCCTCTCCATCCTCTCCCCCCTCTCCCTTTCCTCTCACTTCCCTCTTTCGCTTCCTTCTCTTCCCTTCTTCTTCTTATTCTTCTTCTTCTCCCCTATCTTTATCTGCTTCATCTGCCTCCTCTTTCTCTCTTTCTCTCTTTCTTCATCTCTCTCTCCATCCCTCTCTTTCTCTCTTCCTTCCCCACCTCACCCTCACCCACCCTTCCTCTTCCTCTTCATCCTCTGTTTTGAATATCTTCTTCATATCTAAAATCCTCAGTTCCTGCATCGTCCTCAGGGACGTGTTCGCTTTCTGTTTGTTATCTTTCCTGATAAAGTACATCTGCTCAGACTGTCGGTTTCTCTAGAGGGCAGCCAGTGTACATCACATCAGTCCGCCGACACCCACCTTCCTGCCAAGTCTTCTTGTGTGGGTGTCCTGGACTCACTCCGGTCTGGAGCTTGGATTGGGTCCATCTTTGCCTTTGGCTCTTCGGCTTCTTATCTCTATACGTCGACGTCTTCGTCGTTCTGAATACCCTCGGGAAATACGTTCGTATCTCTTATCTGAGGGTTTGACAATCTGAGACCACTTGAGTAAAGTGTCAAGCCGATTTCCCAAGGTATGTCATATCGAATTCGCGCGACTAACGCGTACTGCCGCTGATCTAAGTTAACACGCATGGGCTTCGGTGCTAGGATACTTCTCCTGCTCATATACTCCTATTACCCGCATCTGTTGCCTTTAGTAACGTGCACACGTGTGCTGTACGTCGGATAACATGTCATACGCTGTCAACACAGTTGATGCTGCGATGGCCGAGGCCCTTAGACATCTGAGCCAGATATCTACCTATGTGTGTGCATCGATGGTGAAATCCATGTTGGTGAAGCAAATCACTAACCTCGTCAGTTTCGTGATCGCCAAAACAACACTGATGTCGCCAACGATATCGGAAGACTGAGCACCATGATCGTCATCAGATTCTCTGAAGGCATCATGAATGTCCCAGCCACGGAATTTCTTCTGGCACCGCAGGCAAGAACGCTCACTATTGTTGAGATTATAGCTGCAGCAACGCTAATCGGAGTAGACCGGTGATAACAATCATAATGCCGTCGAGGGTCAAGCTGTTGATAACTCATCTCAGCCCACAGCGGCCTCCTCATCGCTTAACGAGGCTCAGCAGGAGAATCACCGCAGCCTTGTCTTGCAGCAGGCATCGATGCGTGACAGGCAGCTTCTTCCGAATGGCAATTGGGCTCGAGTTGTTGGCACAGTGCCCGAGGCTTCCACTCAGGCCCAGGCCCAGGAGCTAGTGCAGTATATGTCACCCGCGTCCTTGACTTCGAGTCCTCTGTCTAGACAGAGCCAGAATAGTGAAGAAGAGGCCGAGTGCCGCGAGTTGGCCAATGCTTCACTCAGTCTCAATCCGCACATCATGCCAAACCCAACTGAGGCCAAGGCTGGAGTAATCCGCATCTATGGCAAGACAGCCAGAGAGCATACTTCCTTTATTACCACTCGCATTCACGAGGGTGCGCTGCTGGAGGTTCGCGTCGAGGCCGACGATAGAACTCGCGTGACCTTCCAGCTTGCAAGCGCGGCTGTCGAGTTTCTGAAGTCCAACCGCGAGATGCAACAGTTGCTGGGCTACGGTCGTTTCGGCACCGGTTATCACGTTGAGCTGGCGGAGATTGTGGACTGGAATGATGACCTCCGCCGCATGAACCAGCCGATCCGTGAGCGTCGCCGCCTCTCTTTCGCCAGAAAGAGACTTTTTGCGGAGGGGATGACTCCTGATAAGTGGAAGCATGATATTCGCCAGCTGGCGGGACCTGGCGCTATCGACTTTCTTTGGGTTTTCAATTCTGGTAACGGTAAGTGAGCAAGCTCATACACGTTCTTCACCTGCTGACTGGCTTGTAGCTACTGCTGTTTTCAACAGCACCATTGTCGCTCGCCGCGTGCTAGAGACATTCGAGAATTGGAAAAACGGCCGCAACGTTTACAGTGGTGTCTCTGTGACCTACTCCTCTGATCCCTGTGAGAAGGAGCTCGCCTTAGTCCGCGAGAGCCGTGCCAACATGGGCAGAGGCTATGTGAAGCGGGTCATCCGCTGACTGAACATGTCCTTCATCTGGGTGAAATTATCCCATCTAGGTGGTGATTGAACCTGGAGGACAAAAAACATTATTTGACTGATCTGGATTTACAACATGCGGTGCGAGATTCTTAGGGTTAAGCGAGAAAAAGTCAAAAAAAAAGGGATTTGAAAAAGAAAAGAAAAAAAAAAGAACAGACTTACAGTGCAGAACAGGGATCTGAACCGTTTGCTAGTTGAAAGTCTTGTACGGAATGTTTGTCCGGATGCTGGAACAACGTGGCCGCCTGGTGCGCGCACGATCCGGTTCGGGTTGCAATCCCAGGGATGTCGACAGGCGCACGAGCAGTGGTGGGATCATTCCTTTTTTCTTACCAGGGTATCCGCTCACTGCATGTTCGGATCCTTGTTCTGGACGTGTTGCTTATGCCAAATTGTCTTTACTTACATTTACATCTACCATAGTAAAATATCCCTTCATGGATGTTGTTACTTGAAAGGGACGAAACATAATGTAGCAAAACTTGGTCTTCAGGGTCTGTCAAAGTAGGCAAGTAGGCGAGCACCTGTACGGAGAGATAGAAGCAGTAATTTTGCTCGCGAGTATTCTGTATTTGGGAATGATGTTGTGGTTCGCAGGCAAGCAATTGAGTTATTGCTACTGTAAATTCGCATATGTACTTACTAACAAACGCCTTGTCCCAATACTGTACGCACGCGCATGTACAATGTAGTACACTATAGTAGGTTTCCCCCAGAAATAGAATATGAGAAATTGAGATAAACATCGCCCAGGAACCTAAATTCTCTAGAGCTCTCCTAGCAAAGGTCCTTTCTATCAGCCTGTCTCCTTCAACCCACCTATCCCAACCTTTATTGACCTTCTAAACTGGTGTAGTGGACGGTACTCATGTAGTATCGATCAACGGGAGTTGCAGTACCCAAGCGGATGGCTGCTCTGTTTGGTGGAGGGAACAATGGCAAAGCACGGATCGACATTACCCAATAATCTTACTTAGTATCCCTCCCCTTTTATGCATTCATATCGGTCGATCCCCTTGTTTCCCTTGCTTATCATCATCACCATCATCATCATCAAGAAGACAAACAAGATGATTGTTTGGGTTGGTGGTGGTAGCCGTACGGAGTAGAGATGTACGTATACCGGTAGTGCAGGTTGTAGAGATGTAAACCTTGTCCAGATTTTGGAGTAGAGGTTGATGATGTGGTGTATAGTTTAGTTTTACAGTATACGTATACAGAGTGCGAGTGCGTTTCCTCCCAGCCGGCCTTGTTACAACCTCTTTCCCAGATTCAAAGTAAGTCAACGGTTTGTATGTAACTGCAGAGGACGGTGCATGGGAGAGACAATTGATGGCGGATTAAAGTGCTGTACTTTGCACAATTATCGTGTGTAGGCTGTGGGCAGAACTACTAGGTATATCGACCGTAAAATGTATAAGCCAAGAGAATCCAAGGTTGATATTCCGCTGAACTACGGAGACTCTGTACCGAGCACAGCTAACTTCCAGCCTACCAGTGAACCAACGATATGGGGCTGCATTTGTATGTTTTGGTTTACGGAGCAGCCGAGAGTTCGCCAAGGAATCACAAGAGAGAATATGAACCCACACCCCTCTCCAGATTAGTAGTTTTTCTGAACCCCTGCATTTAGTGCATCTAATCTGCAAAGCATTTACTGAGTCAAAAAAGGGGGATGGGATTGGGGCCTGCGATTGGTAGCTGGGGAATTGGTGGTGCTGGCGAATAAGGTTCAGTAGATGGATGGTTGGTACTGCAGGAGACGGGTCTTAATCATATTACTGTTTATGGAGTAGAGGCTGGATGGATGTTTGACTGTTTTCTTCTTTCGAGAAGGGTTCTTCTACATCTGAGTACAACAGACGACATATGACCTGTGACAGGTGATATGTGGACGGTGGACGGTGGACGGGGATTTTTTGTGGAATTGATTGGTGATTAATTGCTTTGGCTTGGGGGTGGTTTCGGATTGATTGGGGACTGGGGATCGAATAATGAACGGCGGGGACTGAGAGGGAAGCAAAAAACCGTTGGACGTTTGTGAGATGGAACGACGGTTATTGCTGGGGTTGTGGGATGGTTGTTTGTCTCAAATGTTTGGGGGCTCAAGTCTTTCTTTCTTTATGCAGGACTCATTGATTGTACTGTACGGAGACTGACCTTAGCAATTGGAATGAAAGTCTTCGTTGTGGTCTTCTACCCTTTGTGATCCTGAGAATTGTCCGTCGGTCTTGCAGGACACACATTCCATGGCTGACGGGGCGACGGACGAGGGATCCTAAAAATAATCCCCTATCTAAGAACACAAAGAACCCAAGAACCCAAGAACCGTGGAAAAGACCGGAAAGAAGTTGTGGCTTTCCCAGACTAGCTAAAAATGGATAATCTTGTCTGCCTACCGTAACCTATGGTCTATCGGTAAGATAGAGAAAGTAGAATCCACTTTGGTGTTCTCTTGACTTCGAACCGGACTGACGAAGATTTGATGTTGATTACTAGGGAGAAAACGAAATACAAGACCGCGGCGTGTTGTGGTTTCTTGCCTCTCCTTCCCCCCTTACTAGAGATAAGGGACGGGCGGAGCAAGCGGCAAGGTCGTCGATCGGGGGGAGGGACAGACGGGGTCCAAGGGACCCGAAGTAGTAAGTAGGTTAGTGACTGAGGTAATCGGAATGTGCGCGTGGAACAGACAATGTGAGGGAGGGTGAGTGTTCGACATCACCGTGGCCGTCAACCTCACCACACAACCGGTCAATTCGTTTCCGATGAAGCGGCAACCCGGACCGAACGCCATTCGAGATCTGGACTTTCTGATCCAAAATGTGGTTGTGCAGGCAGAATAGCTAATAGGGCATGACATGATGTCAGCTTAGCTTCAAATTCAACCTGCCGGTCACAACGAACCCGCCGTGTGGTCGCTTATCTCGCAGTGCTTCGGGGCACATGTCAGGTGAGAATGGGGGCAAGGGGGGTCCGAGAAGAACGAGTGGGTGGGTGGGTTAGTCCGCGAGCAGGGCTCACAGCGCGTGGGTACCTGAACTGTGAGCGACAAGCAGCTCGCTCCATCGAGTCTAAGACATTACTTTGTGGGCGTTCAAACCATTGACGACCGGGCTTGAACCAGGATCGGAGGTTCTCCAATTTGGTCCATTTTGGCTCCATGGGGGAACAACGAAGGCATTTATTTTGGTTTAGGTTTGAGAGTGGCACAAGTTGACAGTTCGAATATGGGTAGCCCAGACGCAGAGAAGAGGGAGGAATACTAGACAAGGTAGGATCAAGCGACTTGATGGCATCTTGAGGCAAATCCTATGTAATAATAATGAGCCAGTCAACGGGTCCGTTCAGTTGAAGCGGAGATAAGAGAGTCAAAACCAGCGAGGGATTAGCTTTGGGTGGTGTTAGTGCCCAGTGGTAGGTGGACCGACCCCGAAAGGGACTAGTAGTGGAGAATTATCCCTCGGAGGCCGAGGGGAAAAGATGAAAGAGAGCCCTGAGCCGAACGAAAAGAGGGTCCTGGGGAAATTCAGGGAAAATTACAGAGTACAGTACGTACGATTCAGGGCCTAAGGCAATTAATTACCTACTTACTGACTTAACTGCATTCGCACCTCGTGGCCCAGTCAACCAGCATACCACGCTTTGAATGGTTTCATGCTGCCGTCACCACCTCTTCGGAAGGTTCATTCAGTCATCCATTCTTCAAAGACAATCAGGGGGGTTACCCAGGGAGATCATTACGTATTGCTCTGTCGAGGAAGTCTTTGGACCCTTGGACTCTTGGAGGATGTACTGTACTAACGTTATGCTGAGGAGTTTACCAAGGTTACTGAGCCACTAGCTCGGCAACTAGCGTGGCCATGCAGTGTTAACGCATCCAGCAAATTAATTAGCCTTTGCTGATGTACAGACGGTACGAGTAAGTTACTCCATACTTCCTTCCACTTCCACTTCCTATATATGATCTCTCCCTCCCTCTTTCCCCCATTCGGGAGGTAAGCCTCGTGGTACACTTCGTTCGGTCTTCGCGATTTCTCTTCGCCTTTCGACTTCCTCCTGTTCCTCTTCTCTCTCTCTTTCTTTCTCTCTTTCTCTCCCTTCATCTACTCATTCACTCGCTTTCGACAACTAACGCTACAACTACTACTACAACTATCGCTCACATCCTGACCCTCTATCTACTATCCCACTAGTGGCAGCTCACCCCCGAATCGTCCCGTGATCCCTCATTTATTGGCGCATTCGTTGCTTGGTCTTGGTCGAAACCGGTCCTTAAATAATATACTGTATTCTTAAAAGGGAATTGTGGGGATTTTGGGTAAGTTCCTTCTTGCTTTCCGTGGCTCAGGAACCCGCTCTGCATCAGGCGATCCATGAATGAACGATAAGACATGTGGTTCCCGTCCCGGGCACAACAGTTTGGCTAATATATTGCCCTCTGCGCTCCCCAGATCTGCAGCGATTCTCGATTGCAATTCTTCTTCCACTCTCTGTCCTCGATTCACCCTGACTCGTTAGCCGCCTTGTGGTCTTGCGAAGCTAGGACTCGTTGACTTTCGCCAATATGCACATCGCATCCTCCCTATTCTTGGCCTCTTTGGCCGCCACATCCGCCTTGGCTTCCGCTCCGACATGCAGCACCAGCTCGCAATGTCCTGAGGAGTACCCCTGCTGTTCGCGTAAGTGATTCTGATCAGTCCCTGGCCCTCACAAGTCGTTGCTGATCGTCTTCATCAGAGTACGGTGAATGTGGTACCGGCGCTTACTGTCTTGGTGGATGCGATCCGCTTTCGTCTTACTCCCTCGACTCCTGCGTTTCCGAGCCCGTGTGTCAGAGTAGAACCTACACGTGGGACAACCTGGACAAATCCGCCCTGAACACCAAGTACCTCGGAAACTCTTCCGAGGCCGACTGGGTCTACAGCGGTTACCCGAAGATCGAGGACGGGAATCTTCTATTGACCATGCCCAAGAACA